CCTGACCGTAAACCTGACCTAATCCCCAACCCAAAAGTTGAGTTACAACATCTAACACAAAGACTACTGGTCTTGACAGAGTGGATGTGTATACCAGAAACGGTCCTAAAAAGGTAACAAATACAAGTGTGCACATGCACACACAGAGAGGCAAAAATATTATGATCACCCTTCACCATGTGACAATAAAGCTGCAGTCAGGGTTTGTTGGCTTGTTACTTACTTGTGGCTCTAATGCTTTGCAGCGTGTTGACGATGGGCTCATAMTTTTTGTTTGCACTGTTAGACTTCTAAAAATAGAAAGAAACATGTCAGAACTGTGTCATTTTACACGCACGTCATTTGAACGTTTGAACTTCAACACAGGATTTAAAAAACTACCTCATAGAAAAAGCCGAGGACAGCGACTCCCTCCTTGTCTCTCAGTGCCGTGGTCAGGTCAGTGTAGTGGCTCTTCATGTGGACAATGTGCAGCTGAAAGGAAAACATTACACAGCCATGATGAACCTTAAAATACAGTGATAGGCAGCGATGTAATCAACTCTCTGCTTTAAAAAAATCAATTAAAGACAGTGTTTCTTTAAAGAATGTTAGACAATGAAACTGGTACACCTGGTTTTAGACCAGAACATCCCTTTCAGACAGCTTCCTCTTGCATCCACAGTTAATCCTGTTGGATGTGGTTGGTCCTTCTTGGTGGTATGCTGACATTACCCTGGATACCGTGGCTCTTGATRCATCACAAAGACTTGCTGTCTTGGTCACAGATGGACCAGCAAGACGTGCACCAACAATTTGTCCTCTTTATCTCTGGTATGTCACACATAATGTTGTGTGCATTGCAATATTTTGAGCCAAACTGTGCTCTTACCCTGCTAATTGAACCTTCACACTCTGCTCTTACTGGTGCAATSTGCAATTAATGAAGACTGGCCACCAGGTTGGTCCAGTTTAGCCAYGAAACCTCCCACACTAACATGACAGGTGTTTCAGTTTTATTGTCTAAYCCAGGGGTCTGCAACCTGCAGCTCTGGGGCCACATGTGGCTCTCTGGTCTCTCTGCAGTGGCTCTCTGAAAATATGATCAAACATAACAGAATATTTTTTGTTTGTTTTTTATACCTACAACAGAAATTTGTATGCAAATGTGTGATCAATCCTACTAATACAAAAAGTAAAACATGTTAGCTCATGCTAGCCTTTTGTTTACTTAAATATACTAATTTCTTTCTATAAACTTTCTCTCAAATCCATCAGACTTACCTTTGAATAATTTAAAGACTACATAATAATAAGAATTAGGAAAAAATGTCCGAATAATTCAGTTGTACTACTTTTTATGAAATTCCATTTAAACTATATACTGAATTTTTATGTTTACATGAATATGGTATTTTTATTTGTTCTGATGTGTATAGTTATAAAAATATGATTACAATAACATTTTTTTAGTTTTATAATGTCACCTCCACTGACCGTAATGGTTCCCAAAWAGGCCTAGAAAAGGCCCACGGACCACCATTTGATAATCACAGTTTTTGCTTGTTTTGTGGCTCTGGACACATTTTATTGGTGAGACAAGGAGCACAAATGGCTCCTTTGATTGTAAAGGTTGCAGACYCTGGTCTAACCTCTATATATTGCCTGCTGGTTCTGATGCCAGAATTTTTCACTAAGATCATCAAAGATTTGATAGAACCTTGAAAATATGCACAATTTATGCAATATTTTGATTCAATTATCCATTTAAAATTTTATCTCTTTCTGTAAAATGACCAAAGTTATGGCCATGATTTTTAATGTTAACTGTCTTGAATTTAACTGGCTCCAAAAGTGAATCAGTTGTGGTTGTATATTCAAGTTTTTTTGTTACCCTTGCTCATTAAAATCTGTGCAGTACATGACATATTTTGCTTGTTAGGAGTCTCAGCTAACAATGCACCAAGTTTGAGGTAAATGTTTGTGTAGTTGAGTTATGGTCATTTTTGTGTTTCTAAGGTCTGTAGCAGCCATATTGAATTGGTTTGACTCCAAAAACTAAATGATTGCTATACACTGAATGCATCCAATGATTGCTTTCTGCAAGTATAATTTAAATTTGTTCACTGGGATATTTTGCTAACAAACACACACAGGCTGCCCTTCACCTTCAACTGGTTATTTGTTTAAAATGATTACCTCCATGGGATACTGCTCTCCATCAATAGTGTGCTCAGAA